ACATACTACAGTAACTCACCCCTGCATGCTGTACTCTCTCAAAACTAAGCCACAGTTGTAACTCATTCCAAAACCCAAAAAAATGCACTTAGGGAAGGAAAAAACTCAACAAATCTTTTTTTAGGTTTTCAAACCCATAGAAAGCAGCTTTTAAATTACTATGTTGTGGTCTTGAAATTCAGACATCTCTATCTCTAAATGCTTAGAGGGTCAGTCTGAGTGGGACTTGGTTTTCTAAGTAAGCACTACACAATTGCAAGGAGCCAACATTCACAATATGCTGTTCAGGTACTAGCTGAAACCAGTCATTCCTCACCATAAAAAACACCATGGCCATGGACAGAACTTTCCAAAGGGTCTCATACCTCATTTATCATATGCTTCAGAATCATTTGAATCAGAGTTTTCTCCAGGAAGCTGAAGGAGTAAGTCATGAAGACCCGCCACAGTAGAGGCTAGTGCAGTTTGCCTGTCTATGAAGACAGAATCTCCTATTTGTCTTACTGGCCATTTCTTTCAGATGAAGAGGAAACGAAAGCATAACACTCCTGTGAGAAAGTGCATGCCTTATGCTTCAGAAACTGCTCCTGAACCAAGCCCAAAATGGCAGCTATTGTGAAATGATACACAGAAACACAGCGGTGAGGAAAAGAGAAAGCCAATGCACTGGTCTTCTAGTTGGTGGCTGAGAAACCTGGAGTTCAGTTTATGTGAAGCCATGTAGTGTCACAAAAGCAACACAAGACTTCATAAGAAACAGAACATCCATCCAAACAGCCTCCACATGGATGAAATGCAATGAGGAATTATAGTTGCCAGATGCAGGTGAGCAAAATAGGCATGTTTTACCACAAAGGCCCATTGCTTCAGAATTTAGACGAAGAGGTTACATAAGAAGGGCCTGAGCAACAGCAGGAAGTGAGAGATGCACTCAAACCAAAGGATGCAAAGGGACAAGAACTGAAAGGCAAACACGGCAACACTGTGCAAAAGCCCAATAACAAGGCAGTTGAATGCAGAAAAATAAATCAGCACAGATATCTAAGTAGCTGGTTTTGCCTTTCTCTAATTCTGCTGATATGTCTCCATGTCCATGTCCTTACATCCAGCACGCCCATAAACTCACTGCCTCGCTGAGGCGACAGATGTACGTGGTGGCATTTGACTACTTCTTTATCAGTTTATTTTTTTTAAAATTATCACAAAGCCACGAGGAATCGTTCATTAGGAAAATCATGCTGAATCAAATACCTTGCCAGAAAACCAAAAAAAAAATTTCATTTTAGAGGTGGTGACTTAAAGTCAACTCAAAGCCCTGGAGCCATGCTTGTTCCTACTCATATATTACAGAGTACTTTAGAAGGAAATTCTTCCATGATCTTGGAAAAACGTATCTTACAACTTCAAATATTAATTTAGTAAATGGAAGAGCTTGCACCTCTACAATGACTTTCTGAAAAAACAAGTAATTTTAATGTGAATCTATTCTCTGTTCAGGGGGTGGTCAGAACTACCCAATATCATTAAAAACACAGTATTCGCTATATGAAGCACTACTTGTTATTTCTGGGTTGCAAAAGGGGTTCGCTGGGTTTCTTAGCTGTTATTCTAGAGGAAGGTGGTGGGGTTTTTTCCCCCCTAAGATTCTCATTTACCAAGGGAGCAATAAAACAGTATTTTGTAATGCTGACTTTTTTTTTCCCTTCAGAAATTCTTGTAACATAAATAGATATTAAATACTTTAAGGCAGATCACTTTATTTAAAATGTCTATAAATATAAAATGCATTAATAAGACCTCTTAATGCTTGTTTTGTGGTTTGACAGTAAACATAATGGCTTACAGAGAGGAGTTAATATACCCCTGACCAGCAATGTTCTATTTGCTTAAATGCAAGCATCCAAGCCAAAATTAACATTCTGGTTTCTTTTCGAGGCAGCCCGCCATCCTGCAGTGGAGCCGAATAAGCACTGCCCAGTATCACGGGGCAAATCCTGACCCCAACTCACAGTCGCTGACAGAAGTCGTGTCGAGGCAGACGGGAAACAAAGATCACAAGCAGCCAGGCAGCCTGAATTTGTGTGGTTACACGGAGCATAACTGATTCTGCAGCAGAGAAGGATGTAACAGATGTTGTCCTAAGAAGTCAGAGTTGTGCTTTTCCTCCTATCACAGTTTTACCGGTGGGAAACTACCACACAGAGATTCACCGTGGCTGGTTCAGGCACTACCCAAAGAGTGTGGCTAAGTGAAGAGTTCAGCTAAGGCCTACCTAAAATCACATCACTATCTTATCTCTCCTCCTGAAATATATTTTCTGAACTATTCTTCAGCCTCTTTTGCTGGGATGAAGATCAACTTCCATTATGGCAAATGGAACGTTAAAATCTCCTTTGATTTCCTAAAATTTCACCTTGTTTTATAGCCTCAAAATAAAGGATTTATGCAATGATGCCATCTATATGTTTGCCTATTATTATTCCTCAGTATCTTCTGATCTTGCCAGCCACTCACGACCAATTTCCTTAGGAAGATAGAGACCTGAAACATATTATGTTCCTACAAGGGTGGGAATGTAGGCAGCCAGACAAAGAAGAGAGACTCTGTTGGTGCTCCTCTGAAGGCTGAAAAGCTGAAACATAAATTCAGATCCTAGCAGACATCAGAAAAACCACATGGGTGAGCCTCTAGGAGCAATGACTTAACAGTGGGAAGCATTTCAGCTGGACTTTGCACCTTAGGAGATGTCAGATAAATGTGTTCCTCAGCCAAGAGTCCTCTTCCATGTGCACTCTCTAGTGTCTAATAAAGGGGTGAGCTCACACTACAACATCAAGACCTAGCTTAAAAGTCCATCAACCAAATCCATTGGAAACTAAGCTTCAATATTTGTTTAATAAGTGGGTTTAGAGAACCCAACCCATCCATCAGCACCTCTCCTCACACATATATTCACACCTGGCAAGCTGATGGTGCTGAGATGTTCTGCAGAACTCCTCAGTCTGGACAGACAACAGTATTCATGGCCATCTTTTGTTTAGGACTTGGTCTATCACTGTACTCAACCCTAACGGTCTTCACAGGCTGACAAAGCTACACAACAGAGAGATGTGCTACTGGCTACACTGAAATAATTCACCTTTTGGCATGAGGATCATCAAGACAAACGATTAGACACATGTTTTAAAAGGTCTCATGGCCATAATGCCCTGTCCCAGCCCCAGCAGAACTGTGGGGCACAATGGCAGATTCTTACTATCTCATTGATTAATCAGTTGATTTTAGGAGGGCCCCTGGGCAGCCACTGCAAACAAAAAACATCCACCACCCCTCTCGAAGTCCCAAGCATCTGACATAACGAAGAAACTCAGCCCTGACACGTACATTACATCTGAATATACATTTCTGTTAGTTCAAAAAGTGACCTAAGTAGATTTTTTCAGAGCTGAATATGACTTATGTTCTGCCTGCTCACTGCAAAGCTGGTATGTGAATTTAAAGGTGAAGGACCATGGCTTTGAGAAGAGTAAGGCTCTTGTGCCTCCAGCAAATACATCCTTAAACACAAGAAAGCCAGTAAGTAGAACCTGAAGCAATGGTGGCACGAATGGATTTGCTGCAAGACAACATTTCCTACAAATCAATCCAAATAAATGTAGAGACACAATGAAGCCTTATTAAGTGACTACTGTCACAGCATGCTGGAAGGCAAAATAAAAGGTAGAGGAAGTGACACAGAAAAGCAGCTTATTAGCAGAAAAGACCAGTTAAACAAACTCCCTGCTTAATCAGCAACGCATTTGCCTACAGGAAGGCTCCCTCACACCAGTGCTTGACAAAGGAATACAAGACCTCTTAAAAAGCTGTTGTCCCATAGCCAGATTATGCACTGAGCATCCATCACTCAGCTCTTCACTGAGAAGCATGACCAGTCAATTACTATTAAGAACTGTTATTTTTTTTGCAAGCCAATTTGCTGCTGGTGAACAACAACAGAGCAGTAGTCAGGAGAATGAACTGTTCCTGGATGTTACAACAGCACCGGCAGAGGAATACGAGCTTCCTCCAAGACTTCCTTGTGCAAATGCCTCTGGAAGGACCCCTGCCGTCTTTGAGCATCCAGTTTAGCCATTATCTCTTTATTGGCATTGCCAACAAGTGAGTGAGTGAGCACTCACAGCGAGAGGCTTTGTGTTCCCTTATCAACTGAGACTTAACTGCTAGGACAGCTAACAAATTAACACCCACACTTCGTGCGAGCTTCTAATTCCAAAGGCTCTCCTCACTCCTGGCAGATTCTCTGCAGAATTTCTAGAATGCTTCTAAAGCCCAACTCCATCAACTATTCAGAGGTAGGATCAGCTCCACTTCACGTAGCACAAGGGGTCCTGGGGTAAAGAGCATGTGATCAGCGCTGGCAGTTTGGTGATAAGTTTGCCATGTTTTCTGCAGCAAGGGAGGCAGCCATTTTCATTAGGTAGAAATCAGAGATAAAAAGTGTTTCTGACTGACTCAAAGCCAGGTTTTCTGCTGGAAATCAATATGACCGCTGTCTTCAATAACACTTTGACTGCCTGCTATGACAATGACACAGAGAAATATCTCTTACGACACAAACGTGCTATGGAAATATTTAGGAACCCAAGAAACATTATGTCTGTCAAGACCATCTATGCACTCTGGATTCTCTCTTCCAAAGTAAACCACAGCAGTACAAAAAACATGGTAGAAAACAACACTCCTGAACAATCATGGAATACATCCTAACTGAAAACTTGCAACTTCTGTTTCAAAAAGGTTTTTTACTGTTATGTCCTTAGGCAAATACAAAAAAAAAAATTAAAAATCACACAGATAGGCAAGAAGAGGCATATAACATAAGAAAACCAAAACCTTTCCTCATACCTCAAGGTCAAAACAGTTACCCAGTTCAGCTGTCAAGGAATCTAGCTTTAACCTTTGCTCTTGCTTTGTCATCTGAGAGTAAAGTGTCTACTTACCATATTCATAACTGTGAGGATGAATCTTTGGGCAGCCTCTGCACCATGGTATTGGACCATATCAGCATCTGCCACCACGAGAGTTTCTACTGTGTACTCGTTGGTAAGTCGAATGGCATTTCTTCTCTCCCTCCAGTCACTGGTTGACTTCATTTTCTTTTGTCTCTTCTTTTCTAAAAGTCAAAATACTTATTAAGGCTGGCAGATCATAATAAAATGTTTATACTTTTTTCAGCAAACATTCTTGTCCACATTCAGATTGCAATGACCTTTAATTAAAGTGTCCTTTGCTGATTAAAAGAAGCAACCAAGTGATTTCATTGCAAGTACATCTGTACTTCTGTGTGCAGATTTGTATGAGACCACCAGATGACATGCAAATAGGAAAAAGGATGAGAAAAAAGAAGTCCAGAACAGTAAAAGATCAGCTGTAATTCAAACCAAGAAGAAGTCATGCTCTTGGAAAAATTTCAGAAACTGGAAATCCTGCTTGTGAAAAGTATAACATTCCAGTATAACGGAACAAGTGCTAATTAAGGAAAAATGCTGAAGAAAACTTTAGGATAGGAAACAGTGCTTTGAGATGCAACATAACACTTGAGACTCTGCAGGTTCTCCTTAGCCGGCGAAGTTGTAAGATATTCCTGCAGTCAATATTTCCATCAGTTGCATTTTTACTTGCTACCAGCATTACTAGAGCAATCTAACAGAACACAAGATAGAGTCTCAAAAAATTTAAATTGAGTCAGATTGTTTTGAAACACGCATTATTGGCCGACTGCAGAAGTCTCTGGATGAAACCCAGGAGTGCAGAAGGTCAGGCTAGATAAGACCTTCTCAAGCTTTCTTTGCTCATTTATTGCTATTGGCATGAGCGCCAGCACCAGCAGCTGCAGTCACCGGCCACCTACGTGCAGAGCTCCCATGCCTCTTTACTGGGATATGTGTACCAAAAGCGGGGAGCTCCCTACACCAGCTGATCCTCACCAAACTTAAGTTACAGGAACCTGTGAAAGAATTCATTCCAAGGACTACGAAGTGAAGCAGTGGTCAGCTATCGTTAATACAAAAATTGGAGAAGTTAAACCTTCTTTCCTCCAAACTAAGGGACTAATGTATCAGTAATTCGTCCTCTTTTAAACTGAAAGGTGAAATGTGTTTCACAGCTCAAAGGCAGATGTGCAAAGCAGCTGAGGCATGAACAAAGAAGAAATTAAGTTCAGACCTGAAACTTAATCTACTCCATTACAGTCACAAAAAAACGTATTCATGTTTTCAATTGTAAAATGAAAGAAAAACAAATGAAGTCATCAAAACACATTTATTTTGCAATAAGAAACAAACGGCCAAGATTCACTGATTTTACATCTGCTTACTGCTCAGCCTGCAATATGCTATGAATAAGATACTGACACTAGTATTAATGCTGATTTCTTCCAATGAAGAAGGGAACAGAACACACAATAGATCCTGAAAGAGCATAATCACAACATTCAATGCAAAAGTGACACAGAACCATACTGGATGATCAGACAGACACATCTATGTCACACCACGCGTGCTGCTCGTTTCAGAGAGCAGAGAATCCCTTTTTAGTTTTCAGTAGATTTAAACTGAGACCCTTTCTTAGCAAAGCACCATTCTGCATAGGCAGTTCTGAGTTAGTGTTCACTGATCCTGTTTTTCCACAGTCCATTTACCAGCTCCCTTACATAATTCAGCTTGAATTTCCCTTCTTTCCCAGTCCATTAAATGCACTTGCATCCAGATCATCAGTTTTCCCTTACCAATCCTCTTGTATTCAGGGTGATAAACTCCATCAGCTGTAAGCCCCCTGAAAGCCCACCTGAAATGGATTCCCAGCCTTCTGCTCATTCACACATTTTCTGTCTTGTCAATACACACATTTGCACATGACCATCCCATATCCCTAATTCTGAGTTGTCTAGCAGTCATCCAGCATAGTTCTGCACAAGCTTTTCTGCCCAAGGCATCAACTGTCAACACTGGGTACATATTTTAAACTGAGAAAACAACCATGAAATTTGATTTGAATCTTTCTAAAAAGATTTTGGAAATATTTCCCCTGGATCTATAAAGACGGACAGGGGCCCATGGACAAGCAAAAAAAACCCAGAATTTTGGGGTTCTCATAAATAACAGAAGCAACATGCCAGCAGCAGAGATGAAAATAACCAAGTTTCAAGGATTGTTTTCATACAGACTGCAGGACAGCTCCAGAAAAGCGTGCCATCATCACAAAGCTGCCTCAGAGCAGGGGATCTGTATGTTTCTATGTACTGTAGAAAGTCACAAAATAAAATGGAGTGGCTACACCAGAAAGAAGGAAAGATAAATGCACCTTCAATTTGCTAACCGTGAAACGGAGACTTCACCAAACTTCTGTGAAAAAGCTCCCATGTTTGTTTGTTTGTTAATTCGTTTCATTCCATTCATCCACTCATCCCTCCCTCTGCATGGCCGTGCATCTTTAGCTGCAGTACTTTCAAGGTTATCATCTAAATACCACAGGAGGAATCAGAGAAAAAGGAAGAGAAGGCAAATGATTCCAGTAAGAACACTGATCTTCTGAGTTTTGCTGCTAGCAATCAGAACCTTCCTGGAAATAACAGCACTTCCCCATCAAATTCTTATTTGGGTAATTCCCTAATAAATTAAAAGTTTTCAGCTGACATAAATTTTCTACCTATAGAGAAGTTGCTTTTATGGGGGGCTAGGCCAAAACTCAAATAAGTCTGGGCCTGGCATTGAATGAGCTGTGTAAAAAGGCTTAAGTGGAAGAACGTAAATTCCGAGTACTCTGGGTTTCACTTCAAAAATCTCCTTTTTGATGGAAAAGAAGCCACTTGTGTCAGAGGAGGAACCCACTATGCTAGACTGTACCTTGCACTCCGGGGAGAGAGGTCATGCCATGGTCATCTGCCATGGGATTGCCCGGCATGGTCCCTCCTTCAGAGGCAGATGAAGGAATTGGCGAGGCTTTGCCGATTCCACTCGGCACCTCTTCGCAGAAGGCAGCTGTACAAAACTCCGAAAGGTGTGATTTCTGGAGAGCAGCAGCGTAAAGGGACTCCTGGCAAATTGCTGGGTAGTCTTGGTTCACACACAGCCTCTGGCCCCCATTCCTCCATGAGTTTTACTTGAAGCTGTGGATTGGCTGCCTTCCACTGGGTGGTAGGGATTAGAGGTTGTGTGTGGAAAACTACCACCCCACAGCCTTGCCTAGAAACACAGCCAAAGTGACCTAACTTAGAGAATCTGGGCTCTTACTCTCATCCTCTCCCTCGTGTTCTCCAAGTGTAAGCTTCCTGCACACTTAAAACAGGCAACATGTAATGGACTCAAGGGAGCCTAGCTCAAAAGAGCTCAGGTAGTCACCGATGCGACACTACAGAAGAGGTAACAAAGCAACACAAACTGCTTGAACAAAAGTGTCATGTGTTGTGTCCCCTCCCTTTTTTTTTTCTTTTCCGAGTTTGCAGCTCCTCTATAAAGCAACTTTTATTTATTCTTTTTGTCCTTGCAGAGGGCTACTCTGAGAATGGTCTCTATTTGCATCTTCCTGCCTACCACACATGCAAACAATTTTCCAGCATAATCAAGCACATAGAGAAAATACACAACTACTCATTTGCATGGATGAACCATCACAAACAGAAGAAATACATACATCCCATATCGCAGACATTTAATGAAGAGGAGAAAAAGATCCAAAACCAATAGTAAAAATCCTCATTAAATGCATCTGCAGCTCATACCTGAGGTGAGTCAACTTTATGGAGGCATCAAAAACAAACCCCATCTCTAGAGTCTCACTTCAGAAACAGGCCAGCACAGAGAAGTCTCTCTCCTGCCCCGTGTGATTTATGGACTATGGGCAGAGAATCTCTCCATGAGTACATGAAACTCTAAACTAAAATAAACATCAGCCATTAAAACAAGGATTAAATGCTCGGTGGATTCTTTATTTGAACAAACTGATGTTACAAATTTTGTGGTGCAGATGTTAAGTGTTAGTGTGAAAGCATGAGAAGCCATAAAACATGGGCAGGAGCCTGTCAGAGGAGTTTACATTGCGGGGAGCACACATAACCAAACTGCACGCTATTTTAGGAGTCAGGTGTTCCCCGCTTCAGAGGTCAGACAATTTCATGTGAAATATGAGCTGAAACAGTCAATCCACAACACAGCACGTATCTGCTGAGGGTGACTAGGCACAAGGGACATTACTCTTTTGCCAGTCACTTCGACAGCATGTTACAGAGTCTAGCTGGCCAAAAATGCCACAAAATTCAGGACTGTTAGGTGATGGAAGAAGGGCGGTACGCCCCCAGATCCTCAGTATAAAATGGATGTAACATTGCACAAGCTCATTAGCTGGCTTTTATTTACAGGCTCTTACCTTTCCTTGGCTAGTCACTTGCAAAGCAACATGATCATATCACATTCTGCAGTCCAGGAGTCTTCACAATCTTCCTCAGAATGGCAAAAAACTACAGTCCCTACTGTGATCAGAAGCACAACAGAGCTCTTCTGAAGCCTCAGTAGAAAACTCGTTATGTTCAGTGCTTTTTATGGCAACCCAACAGATGTACAATTCCAAAGCAACCGCCCCAAATGACCTTTTCCTATTACACACCAAAAGCCCTGTCTAGCACTGTCTGGTTTCTGGCACGTTCTAGCTGTAAATGCAGAGTCCTTTCCTGCTCCTCCTCCCTCCCTTCCAACAGTATTTCCCAGACTCATCTGAAAAGCAACCTCTTCTCCTACAGCCTTCCACTTTTTTTTATTCCTAATCTTCCCCTTTGTAATTTTAGCTAGCTTATTCTAGTTAAACCTACTGAAAGGTTCTGGATGCAGTTCAACAAAAGCCAAAAATAAAAGTAAAATGGCAGAGTCCTTTCTGCAAGGCCAGATTTCTCCCTAGAAGCTCTTTTCTACTGCTGCCTTAAAAATCCTCTCCAGTTCTTCCTCAGGAAGCCCTCTGCCAACTTCCCTCCACCCATGACCCCTTTAACATCCCTGTATACCCTCAACATTGAGAGCTAGCTCTGTTTGCCTTTATGCTGCTATTTCAGCAGCATAAAAAGGAGCAAGTAGGTGAGTGGGGCAAACAGTTTTAGCATTAAAAAACTAGCGTTAGTTTTCCCTA